CGCGGTCCCCCTGCAGCCAGGCCCACCTCGAGGACGGCCATGCACCTTCAAAAGAAATGGAAGGCGCCTCCCAGCCAGAGGGCGGGGTGGGGCCTTAGGATGAGGCTGCCCTGGGGGTCCCGGATCAGTGTCCTGGCCCCTGGGGCCCCTCCAAGATCGCGTGGGCGCTGGCGCACTCGTTGTCTGCGGCGGATCACCCAGAACCAGCCTCCACTCCTAAGCGCTTGTAAACCTCCTCTCGGGGAAGCCAGTGAGCTGTGTAATATTTAAACTGTCGACAGCTGGAGCTCATTGGTTTACAAGTTTCCCCTGCTGGCACAGGGGGACTCGGATCACTGCATTGGTTTCCTAACACCCGGTGAGGCCCAGCCCTGCCCTCACCATCCTGGTCAAGGAGGCCCTGTCTCCACGTCTGGGGAAGGGTGGGGGCTGGGAGGCGGGTTGCAGGTGAGGAGGCTCAGAGGCTTCCCCTGCCCACTGGCTCAAGGGCAGCAGAGGCGAAGGGGGCCCCAGGGCCCCGCCCTGCGTGGACTGTCCCGCCACTGGCCCCCAGAGTCAGCAGTGACCCTGGCGGTAAATTCTGGCCTCGCAAGCTGGTGGGACTGAGCCCTCACGAGAGGAAGGTGAGTGTGTGCAGTGGTCAGAGCCGTCCACGGAGGTCAGCTTTGTGCCTGAGTCATGGGGCCGGGGCTACAGAGGCTCTCCCCGAGCCTCTGAGAGCCTCCTCAAGCCGGGGCTGAAACGCCCCTGTGCACGCAGCCCTGTGCTGACACAGCTCAGGGGCTTCCTTGCCGGGGGTGTTCTGCCCACTCCACCTGAGGTCCAAGCCCAGGACCGCCTCATGGGTGCTCCAGGCTGAGGGTTGGCAGCTGCGGCTGTAGCAGAAACCAGAGCTTTGCCCACAGGGTCCACCTGCGATGACCAGCGCCTGCCTGGGAGAAGCATTTGTACCGAGCTCCCCATAGGTGGGACAGGTGACCCGTAGTCACCTGGGAAGGTGGACAACAGCTGAAAGAGAAGCACTCACCGCTCAGAGTAGGGGCCTCCGGGCTCCAGCTGCGCCAAGCGTGGAGCCTCCTGTGAATGTCCCATTCCTCAGCAGCCCCTGTGGGTTCTTGGCCACACTTGGCCCCTCCATTAGGACCAACTGTGGATTCCTGGAACCTTGACCTCAGTCCCGGCCACACCGAGGCTGAGGACCCTCTCCAGGACCCAGAAGGGCTGGGCTCTGCAGTGTGGCCGCTGGGGCAGACACAGTCGCACCATCTTCTCCAGACCCCCCCGCGGCCTCCGCTGGGGTCTGGCAGGAGCCTCTCCTCAGCATCCCGCCCAACCTCACCCTTAGCCTGGGTGGCAGAGGGTCCCTGCACTCACAGGAGCCGGGGCCAGGCACCGGGAGGGGCCTGGACCCCCAAAGTCACACAGGCTGATGTTGCAGACACAGGCAGCCACTTCTCACTGGCCGGGAGAGAGGCCCTCAGGGCAAAAGGGGAAGCTGGCAGCTTCTGTCCCCACAGAGACACTGTCTAGGTCGGTCTCACAGCCCCAGGTCATGTGTTCCCTGCTCTCTGACCCCACATCCTCACCCTCTCCTGCCTGACGTTTTGAGCCAGGAACTCCTCCAGCAGAGCTCACGGCCTGCAACATCCAAACGTTGCTTCACGGAAAGATCTTGCTCAGGACCAGAGGGCTGGAAGGGGCTGGGATGAGGCTTGAGGAGTCCTCTGACAAGGTCTGGGGAGTGGGAATCCACACCCTAGAAATAGGGAACTGGGCTCAGGCTACTTCCTGCGGGCTCCTGGCAGGGCGGGAGCAGTTCGAAGCCAGAGGGAGGCTTGTCTCTCCTCCTCCAGGACTCAGCCCCGCCCAGCCCTAAGCCTTGGTCTTCACGTTAGACACCTCCAGGCTGAAGGAGGGTCAAGCTGCAGAGGCGAAGGCCGACCTGCAGCTGCCCCGACTCCTCCTCCCTCACGGACACAGCGCGCCTGCCTCCACCCCCGCAAAGAAGCCGGAATTGGAAGCCAGCTTGGTTATAATATTCTTGCCATGGACTCTGGCAGGAACTTGGGGCTGCTTACTTTCTCTTCACTGCAGTGCCCCAGGAAGGACACAGTGCTAGGGAAGACCTAGTGGTCAGAAAACCGCCACCACCACCATCATCACCATCATCACCAACACCACCATCATCACCATCACCATCATCACCATCACCACTATCATCATCGTCATCACCATCACCACCACTGCTCTCACCCCACAGCAGCAACCGCAGTGGTAGCAGCAGACACCACAAGAGGAGAAGCAGAGTATCCTGAATTGAAAAAAAAAAAAAAGTTTTGTTTCAGTTGCTGTTTTGTTTGTGGTCTAGTTTAGTAACGTGGGGACAGCCTCAGGTGGCGCAGGGTATTGAAAAAGTGTGCAAAGGAGAAAGAGTCCTGGACTGGGACTCTGGGCTCAGCTCTGCTCCCAACTCCGTGTGGCCTTGGAGCATTGCAGCTTCTGAGCGTTGACATTGTCACCACAAAACCTAGTGACCCCAACAGGAAGGGCTTTGCCGGTGGGAGCAGGTTCCATCCCCTTGTAACCTTTGGGAGGTACAGGAAGACGTGCAAACACTACCCGAGAGCCCCATCCCTCCCAGGTTCTCCCGCTTACAGACGACAGCCCTGGATACAACACCACACACACGGGGGAGACTCGGGAGGCTGCCTGGGGACCTGGGGACCTGGGGTTCCGCAGCTTTCCTTACTGCCTCCCATATGTATCTAATGGGGTGCTCAGAGCCTCCAGCCCAAAGTCTCCAACAGGCGCAGACAAAAACAGCTCCAAGAAAGCCTGCTCCCGCGGGGCAAGGGCGGCTTAGGAGCGGACAGCTGTTGGGACACTCTCCCTACTCCAGACAGATGCAGGCGGGAAAACCGCACCGCACCTCTGTGGTCTCGGCGGGGAGAGTGGGGAGTTGGTCTAGCACCCGACTGCGGCCCATTCCCACACCACCCAACACACCCCACCCTTATCTCCCCCACCGCACCCCCAGCAGCGAGGAGCCTGAGCGGTCTCCCTCTCGCGTCTCGCCAGCCCGGCCTCAGCCCCGCTCAGTGCCCGCGCATCCCGGCCTCACCCAGCACCGCGGAGGGGAAGAAGGCGGCGGGATAAATCCACATCGACACGTTATCATTAGACTCTGAGATCTAAACATGGCGAAAACCTCTCGCACGCAGCCAGAGAGATGAGGGAAACCACCACATTTTGCACAGCGGAACACTGAGGATTCCTGATCCGAAACCACAGAGGCCAAGAAACCAGCGCATTTTGCAAATGCCGAGAGAAAACTGCTAACTGCAAATTCTCCACCCGGTGAGGACGTCCCTCAGGGGCTAAGGAGCAACGGAGACAGTCGCAGACGGAGGAGGATGAGGGAGTTCCTGGCCAGTGAGCTTATCCTCACGGGCGGCTGAAGGAAGCTCCCCGCACACAATGGAAACAGCAGCAGCGGCGGCCGGGGACTCCAGAAAGGACGAAAGAATATCGGATCAGGTAAAAACGGGGCAGATACGGTGGGCTATTCTCATGAATTTCGTAAATCACGTTTGACGGTTGAAGGAAAAGTCCTAGCGCCGACTGATGTCATGCTCGGTGCACACAGAGGAGACGTGACAATTACATTTTAAAAGTGAGGAGGGTGAAGGGTCTTAGACAGGAGTGAGGTTTTACCTTCAGAGCGGGAAGATGTCATTGCCGGTGGGTTGTGACGTCACCCGTACGTGCGAATATGCAGCGTGACACCCAGGGCAGCCGCGATGAGACTTACACAGAGCAATACGCGCGAAACACGCTAAATAAACCAAGATGCAGCCCTGAAAACGCCCATAACCCACAGGGAGGTAAGAAAAGAGAAACAAGAATGAGAAAAAGAAACAAGCAGAAAACAGCAGAGCGGCAGAGTTCGGGTGCGACGTGTTGACTGCTCTAGACGTGAACAGTCTAAACACACCAGTGAAAGGACAGAGGGTGACAGAGCGGATGAAAACGACCCCACCCTGCGTCGTCTTCAAATCAGCCACGTGCTCGCCTCAAACTCCTCGCAGGTGGGCGGAAGGGAAAGGACGGAGGAGACACCCCTGCAAGGACTGAGTTCCCACACGCGGTTTTAGATCAATGGGTTTATTTACTTCGATCGGGCTGAGTTTCCTGAGTAGAGCCCTTTGTTTCCCATTTTTCCTTCCCTCTTCCCCTCTTTCCTTCCTCCCGCGTCACCTCTCACCCCCGTACCCTGCCAGCACCCTCCGGCCTGCGGCGCGGACCCTTCTGTTCTCTCCACGTGCCCAGAGCCGCGCGGAGCCCTCGCTCACGTATGTACACACGTGCACGGGTGCACACAGACACGGGGAAGCGCCGCCGCTTCTTTACCCAAAAAAGGCGCGGGGGCTGGGGGTCATTTTATAAAGACTTCTCTGTATTTTCCATTTCTCCCAGTAACATTTTAGGAGAATTCCACCACATCCATGTGGAAAAATTCCCTTTATGCAAAATTCATCCAGCCGTTACTCTACTGATGGCCATTAACTTTGTTTACAGTATTTTAACCCCAAACGAGGGTGCTCTTGGGAGCAGCGGCTCCGGGCTCAGAGAGCCCTAAACAAAGGGTGACCTCTGCTCCCACCGTCCCCATCTGCAAGGACAGCCGCTCCACCCGTTGGGCCCCCTGGCCTCATGAAGGCAGAGCACGAGCCCAGTCGTGCTGGGCGGGGGGCGCCCGGGAGGACCCGCAGAGCCTGGACAGGGACGCACCTGCTGTCCCGGCCTCACATTCGCTCACCCTGCCGGAGGCCCCGCGAAATGCAGCTGGCCGTGGGCACAGCCTCGACTCGCAGCCGGGGCTTCCCAGGGAGAAAGGAGGAAGAACAAACGGAGCCGACAGGCCGAACTCTCCATGACTTTGTCTTTATTGGGCCTCCTCCAAGGCCGGGCGCAGCCTCCCTCGCCGCTGGCGTGCGGCACCCTCAGAAGCATCTTCTCTGGACCACGGATGTCCCGAACTCCTTGAAGTCCGCAGAGGTGACCCACATCTGCTTGAAGCTGCTCAGAGAGGTGACGATGGAGGCCCCGATCCACGTGGAGAACCACCGGTCGGGGGGAGCCGTGATCTTGATGGGGGTCCCTTTGGCAGCCAGCTGCTCCAGCTCCCTGAGCAGCCGGTCGTCCAGCCCCCGGAACAGGGTGGAGCCCCCAGACAGCACGATCTCCCCAAAGAGGATCTTCTGGATGTCGGCGTCGCACTTGGTGATGCTGCCGGACACCATCCTGGAGAGCCCGGGGTTTTGGACGCCCAGCTGCTCGGGCGCGAACAGGGCCTCGGGCGCCTGGTGCAGCTGGTCCCCGATGCTGACGACGCTCCCGTCGGGCAGCCGGTACTCCCGCAGGACCTCCTCCGGCCTGCGGCACAGCTCCTTCTCCGGCTCCAAGGCCACGTAGCACAGCTTCTCCTTGATGTCGTCCACAAGGGCCTTGTCCAGCAGGCAGGGGAAGGACCGCCCGCCGGCCAGCAGGAGCCGGGTGAGCAGCTCCCTGATGTCCCTGCCCGCCACGTAGAGCTTGGAGACCGCGTGGGGCAGGGAGTAGCCCTCGAAGACAGGGACAGTGCAGGTGACCCCATCCCCGCTGTCCACCACCAGGCCTGTGACGCAGGCGGAGGCGTAGAGCGCCAGCACGGCCTGGTCCGACAGGTAGAAGGCCGGCACGTTGAAGTTCTCAAACATGACTTCGGCCATCTTCTCGCGGTTCTCCCGCGGGTTCAGGGAGGGCTCCGTCATGAGCACGGGCTGGTCGCCGGGTTTCACGCCCAGCTCCCACTCGAAGAGGTGCTTCCAAAGTCTCTCCATGTCGTCCCAGCCCGTGACCAGGCCCCGCTCGATGGGGTAGTGCAGGTGCAAGACCTCGTACTTGTACAGGGCTTCTTCCCCCACAAAGTACTTCTTCTGATTGGCGCCCGCCGAGGACATCTGGAACTTCGGGTGCCCCACGACAGAGCTGATGACGTGCCGGGGCCCAATCTCTCCAGAAAGGCCTGCCTTGCAGAGCCCCGACCCGTTGTCAAAAATCACAGCTGGAGCATCCAGTATGTGTGGGTTAAACATTCTGCAGCATTCACTCCTGAGCCTCACCTAAATAAAGACAGCGCCCACGCAGGCCACTCTGAGACGCGATAGGGGACTCTGCGGTCTCGGGGCAGCTGGCAGGCAGGGCTAGCACAGTGCCCGAGAGCCCTCCATCCTCAGCGGCCGATCGGCTCACCTTTCCGGGGGCCAGGCCCTGCCAGGCCTCTTCAGGGAGGCTGTCCGATAGGTCACAATCGAGCCAAGGCAACAATTGTCCCCAGCCAGCGTAAGAGGCCCTCAGTGGGTGGGGCCAAGCCCGTGCTCCCTGCAGGATGAGATGCTGAGTGAGGCAGGCACTCGGGCAGTGCTGATAAGTCCGCAGCCCAAGGCAGAGGCCTAGCCTGATAGTGGACAGAGCAGAGCAGCCTGGGTAGAGCTCACAGAACCAGCCTCTCTGTTCCCATTGTTTGTGGGATGACAAACAATGCTTCCCTTTGCTAGGGGAATGAACCAGGCACCAGGTTGGAGGGGTGATGCCAGTAGGTCTGTCAAATGTTCTTTCGAATGCAGACTCCTCCAGGAAGCCCTCGGGGATTTCTTCTCCCTCTATCCCATTGATCCTTGCTCTTTGTCCCACAGGTAGACTCCAGGCTGGCTGGCTCTTTTTCCAGGTGCATGTCCCTGCTCTGGCTTGAGGTCAGGGCCCCTCATTCCTCTCTGCAGACCCCGAGGTGCTGGTCTGGAGCAACATCCTGTGGCCCATAGGATTGGGAGCCCCAACGGCCCGTGAAAACGTGGCCCTATGTGGTTTCACGTCAGGCAGCCCCAATCAGGGCCTATGACACCTCTGTGTGTCTACAGCCTGTCACATAGGCCAAGCCCACTAAGGGGCTCAGAAATTGCCAGGTCATGAAGGGCGGAGGTCTGGGAGCAAGACCAGGAGGAAGGCTTGGGGCCCCACTAAAGGGCAGATACCCCAGCCTCTCAGAAAGCCTAGGGCACACACGCCGGGCATGCAGACCCCGGCTGGGTCTTCCGCTGGGGACGAAAGCGGGAGGTCGTCAGACCCGGGAACCAGGGTCTGCAGAAGGGAGTGAGGGGCCCTGACCTCACGGAGCCCGGGGTCCTGGCCCAGGCATACCAGCAGCATGGCCTGGGCGGCTGCCCGAGTGGCCAGTCCCTGAAAGTCCTTGGACAAGACCTGAGCTGTCCTCTCCTGGCTCCTCAGTCACCTGCCCTGCTGGGCACCTGGCCCAGCGCCCGGCCAGTGCTGCTGGCTGGGCACCACGTTGGCCCAGGAGGATGATGGGGCCGCTCAGGAAGCGCACAGCCCGCCGGGATGCACCCTTCCTGCCCTGCGTCGGGCAAGGCGGCTGTGGCCTCGGAAGGGCCCCCGAGGCTGTGGTCCCTGAGCGGATTGTGTTGTCCCTCCAGACCCCGGCTCTGCACGGCCCAGATCCACCACTGGTTATCAGCGCGGGGGCTTCTAAGGTTTTCGGGTCCGACGTTTCGGGGAGCGCATGTCCCTGGTAGGCTGCTGTGGGCGTCGGGGAGCAGAAGGTGTGTCTCGGGATTCTGGCCTGCTTACATCACAAAGGCCTGTGGACTCGGCCTGGCTAGAATGTTCTCACTGTCGCCCTTGGGCCGAATCAGGAGGAACACGATCCCACCATGTCTAGATTTTGGCCCTAAAAGTGGCCCACAGTGGGAGGTGACGTAACGATTTGAGGCAGGGACAACTCTTGGGCCAGGGCGCATGGGCGTGTCTCAGTGGCCGGGGCTGGCTGGGCATTTGGCATTTGCGGGTGGGACAGAGGAGAAGGCAGAAAGTGCACGGCTGGGACGGGCTGGTGCCAGGCGGGGTATGTGGGGCTGAGGCCCTGGCCCCCCATTGCTGCAACAGTGCTCAGTGACAACGTTCCAGGAGCAGCAGCCTGTCACCTACATGCACGTCATGCAAGAACTCGCAAGCACCCGGCCCCACCCTGCCCAGGTCCAGTGTCCCCGTCAGCCTCCAAGTGGGGCCCAGGCGTTTCCACCTGTTGCACCTGTGCTTGGTCTCTCATGACCCTGGCTGGCCCCCCCTTCCCAAAACACAAGCCTGTGCCCTCAAGTCTGCAGCTGGCGAGACAGGGCCACTGCAGGGCGGGGGCTCTGAGCAAAGCCGACTAAGTATTCCCAGGTCCTTTCCCCAGATGCTGCCCTGCTCTCCCGCTGAGCCCGGCAGACATGATGCCCTTGGCCCTGGGCCTGGCACGCCCAGCTCCCCCGTACTGACGACCCAAGAGTCCCTGCATCGGGGGCCACGTGCCCACAGAGCAGCCCTAGGAAGCAGCCACCACTTTGCTCTTTGTCCACTTGGGAGAAGCAATTCGCAGGCAGAATGGGTTTTCCCCAGGCACCGCCCAGGATTTGGGACACTGGGGACAAAGCTGCTCCTTAATTGTCACTTCTGGGCTTGCTGTCGGAGCAAGAGCCTCAGGGCGACGCCTAGTCGAAGCCCGGCGGCCGGACCTGCTGGGCAGACGCTCCATCCTGATGGTTAAGTGTCCACCGTGTGGTCAGAGCCGGAAGAGGCAGAAAGGACCTTGAAGACTCCCCCACCAAGAAGGCACAGATGTCCCCTGGGGGTGGCACACGTGGCCATTGAGAAAATCGAGTGGGTTTATGAGCCACGGCCTACGTGACGTTGTGCTGGTTTCCAGCTCCCCCGGGGCAGAAATCGCAGCCTGTGCTTCTCAGGTGCCTGGGAGCCTCAGCCTCCTTCCGTCCCGGGTGAGACATGGCGCGCTGCCCACCGCGGAGACACCCCCGACCCCCTGACTACCTGGGAGAGGCCTCGTGTGTCTCGGCGCAAGAGAGACCCCCGGGTTTCCTTGCCATTTGGGGAGTGCAACGGTCACCTCGGCAGAAACGCTCGGTAGCCGAGCCAGATGTGGAGTTTATGGGCAGCGTTCCTGGCGAAGGTTGTGTTTGCTATTAACACAAGGACGTTCTCCTCACCCCGCTCCAATTAGAAGCCGGCCGGCCGGGTCTGCCCACCCCCACCCCGTGCCGGCCAAGCCTCGTAAATTGCTTGAACAAGTTTATGGGTGAGCTGGCTGTAACTCCATCCCCTCTCGGGGCAGGGCTCGCCCCGGGGTGATGCTGGTGGGCCACTGTTTCCGTCCTGCACTGGAGGCTCGCTCTTACTTCTGCTCGAGTAGTCACACCTAGTGGCCGCCTTCTCCCACTCCTACAGGCCCCCCGCGCTTCCCACCCCGTGGAGGGGCCGCGAAGCCACTGCAGGAGGTGGACAGACACCGGTACCCTTGGGAGGCTGCTGGGCATCTGGACATGGGAGTGGGCAGCCCTGAGTTTGCTGGGCACCCCAACCTCCCACTGGCCCGAGTCACCCCAGCCCTGAGTCCCTGTCTGCCCCATCATGCCTGGTCTGTTTGTCACTGGTGCCCAGAGCCTCCGCCAATTAGTGGCTAGCAGACAGGGCTCATTAGTGCTGGCCATCTGGCAGCCAGACCCTGCTTGCCGAGGGCCTACTCCAGTTGCTGGCAGCCTGAAGGAGCAGGGTGACCCTTCAGATGGCAAGACGTGCACTGTCCTTGCAAGAGAGAGGAGGGATGTGTGTCTGGTTTATGGGGAGTCCAGGGGCCATGAGTAGTTGCAGGATGCCCCGGTGATGGCTCCTCTTTCACCTTTCTGCCCACCCACCCCCCGAGAAGCCCACACCCTGAGCGTTCTCCCAGGCAGCTTAGCCCTTATGAGCTCTGAGGTGAAATTTATGTCAGCTCCCGCTCGTCCATCCACTCCTCCATCCACCCACCCACTCACCCACCCATGGATCCATGCATCCATCCATCCATCCATGTATCCATCCACCCACTCATCCACCCATGCATCCATCCATCCACCCACCTGCCCATGCATCCATCCACCCAGCCACCCACTCACCCATGCATCCATGTATCCATCCACCCATCCACCCACCCATGCATCCATCCATCCACCCACCCATTAATCCATCTGTGTATCCATCCATGCATCCATCCATCCATCCATGTATCCATCCACGTATCCATCCACCCACTCATCCACCTATGCATCCATGTATCCATCCATCCATCCACCCATGCATCCATCTATCCATCCACCTACCCACCCACCCATGCATCCATCCATCCACCCACCTGCCCATGCATCCATCCACCCAGCCACCCACCCACCCATGCATCCATCCATCCACCCACTCACCCATGCATCCATGTATCCATCCACCCATCCACCCACCCAGGCATCCATCCATCCACCCAGCCACCCACGCATGCATCCATGCATCCATCCATCCATGCATCTATCCATGCATCCATCCATCCATCCATCCACCCATTAATCCATCTGTGTATCCATCCATGCATCCATCCACCCATGCATCATCCATCCGTCCATTCCTCCACGCATTCATTCATCCATCCGTACATACTTCCATTCTTCCATCCATTCGTGCATCCATTCCTCTATCCAGCCATCCATCCATTCCTCCATCATCCATCCATCCATCCATCCATTCCTCTATCCAGCCATACATCCATCCACACATCCACATATCCATGCATCCCCACACCAAGCCATCCAACTATCCGTCTCTCTACCACTCAGTAACATATCTCTCCCCCTCTTCCTCCCTCCCTCCCCTCCTTCTTTCCTTCCTCCCTTCACTGGTGCCCAGAGCCTTCAGCCAATTAGTGACCAGCAGGAGTGGCTGGTAGGAGTGGGGGCTCCAGCCTCCCTGGACAGGTGGGCAGCCCTACCTAGGCACACACCTGGTCAAGAGGGGCACCTGACTGGAACCCTGAGACTGAGGTGTGGGGATGCCAAGTTCTAGATGCCTACTCCCTACGGCAGTTTCCAGGGCTCTGTGATGCCCCACTTGACTGCAGGGTAGGCTGGAAAATGCAGCCCCAGGGGTCTCCCTTGTAGACATGCTGGGGTAGATGGCAGCCATCAGCGTAGGCCAGCCCCTGTGACCCAAGACCAACCCCCAG